AAGCCAGCTGTTAGACATTTTATGAAAATATGAGTGAAATTTATAAGAGTTGTTGCTAATGTAGGGAAGCAGTGCTCATAGCAGTGGCATGTACCTGAGTGGTTTCACTCTTTAGTTAAATACTCTTTTCACGTGAACGCAGATCCCTACATAAAACTTCCCTTTCTTTTAGGCTACGATGTACCTCACAATTCGCTTGAATTTGCCATATAGTACTTTATTATTCATTCAAAGAGGGTTATTGCCCTTCGCCTTGCATGGGAAAACATTCTTGTAGCTGAATGTATGCGGTGACACACGAGCCTGCGCCTTTTTTGACTGCCTAAATCTCTGATTTCCTATGAATTCTTGCACTAGCTTCTCGATAATCTCAGAGCCTTTTCTAACACTATTAACCTGCAACCACTACATAATCTTCATGCTCAATTAAGACTGCTATTTGTGACTCGTTTTGCCGACACACACGCGTTTCTTAGTCGATTTCATCACGGCTCGTCATAAGTAATAGAAAAAGGCAGCTTTCTATTACTGAAGGCGTTGCTATGCCGGCATTTATTGCTTTCGACTTTGTTTTTTTTTTAATTGTAATTTAAAATGACCATGATTTATCGACTGAAGTAATTCTTACCAAAACCATTAAAGGAACGATTCGTCGTTTCATATATTTATTTAAAAGGCTACGTCATTGTTCCATTGAAGTATTTATCGATTCTTATGTCAAGAATGTTAGCTGTGGTCACGAAGTTTTTCTATGAGAATTAAGTGAACCGAGCGAGTGCAACGACCTTTTTTCTTTTTTTCTGTTAAGCCTTAGAGGTGCAGAAGTCACGCAAGCAAGTCTGCGATTGACGATTATGCACTTCGAAGTTCTCCTCCACTAGCATCGTTACTTATCTCAAAATACTTTGACAATACTTTGGCATGAGTGCCTCATTGTAGTGAGCGGGAGTCTAAGGTTCTTTACACTTTTTCTTTTGCCTCTAAAAAGATGGATTTTAAAATAATCTCTTGATGCAATCAGCGCAAGTTTTTTTTTATCGAGATATTAATTTGACTAACTCAACGTTTACAGAGTTGCTTCATCGTTATAGAAAGTATGAAAAGCGACTGAAAGTGCAAACAACGTACGTTTTAAAATACTGTTTGACTGAATTTGATCTTTAAAAGTTCTCGCCATCCCCTTTTTGTGCGGATGACGGTCCAACAAAAGCTAGCACGCCTGCCTCTGCACAATGAACATTTTAACACTATACATCGCACTTTATACTCTTTTCTATAATTGATTAATAGTAAGTGTAGAGCGGATGGAGGGTGACAGAAAAGTGGGGAGAAGGGGGCAGACATTTTCATGTAGTGGCAGCGAGTGAATTTTTTGAGTTTGTTTATTTAGCGAGCTAGTTCTGACAAATCTTTCTTATCAGAGCTTT